CGGTCCCCCCCTTTTTTTTTTTTTTTTTTTTACAGGTGGTGTTGTGTTGTGAAAGTTAAGGGGGTTTCCTTAACTTTTCTTATGGGCCTACCCCTGCACTGCAAGGGTTAAGTGCTCGTTTTCTTTTGTCTTGGAACGAAAATAACAAAACCTGAACCTTGAAGCCTCTTTCTTTAAAGAGAATTTGCCTTCTCATACCTGCAGAAGTTTCTTATTTAAACGGCAGTCTCTTTTAAACTCACTTCCCAGCCCTATCGATAAAAGTATGTGGTGGTTTGTTGGCTCGTTTGGGTCACATTCTAATTTAATTAGTTGGCCAGCACATCCTGGATCTTTGTATTGTCCTACATTCAGATTTGCAGAAACCTTGGGGTGGTCTTCTCTCTATACTTTATAACAACTGTTCTACTTTTAAGATAGATGGCTCCTCCGGGGTGTGGACATTTAAAAAAAACAAAAAACTCCTTGTCCAAGGAATAAAGTGGGGGCCCAGTCTACTTGTCCCTCATGACAATCTACTTGTCCCAATATAAAAAAAAATTGAACCAAAACTGTATTTAACCATGCTAAGAAGCGCTTCTCGTTGGCAAGTGCAGTTAGGTGACCACAATGACCATTGAGTGCTCGCAATTTGCGAGCAAAATTAAAAACCCATAGCGCAGGGCCGTGCTGGACGACAGTAGTGTATGGATAGCACATCTGTACTGGCAGAGAGGGAAGGATTGTTCACTGTAAGGTAAGTATAGCGGTGGAGGGGGCCAGATTTCAGTGTACATACGGACGTTCTCCGCTCTGCTTCCTGCTCTCCACTCCTGCTCTGGTCCCGGGTCCCCCATAAGAGTGGGGCCCCCGAAAACCACGGCAGGAGGACAGACCATAAAGGGGGAGGGGGGCGGACCAGCAGGCTCCTGTACAAGTGATTTGGAAAAAAGAAACACGCCCAGAACTACATGACCAGGGTGTCGGGTAAAAGAAATTCCACACCCCTGTTCCTGTAGGTTGCACCTTGCAAATTTTTCCTGGCTGCATGGTCCTTGATTTTGTGTATTCTGGTGAAATGTATAGACAGTGAATGATAAGAAAGGTGTTATAATGGTAATTTCATGAATATATTTGTGGAAACTATATAGTTCACTAATTATATTATTTGTACTTCCTACTCTGTTTGCAGCCGGTAGAAGACAGACGGAGGGTCCGTGCTATTCTTCCATATACTAAAGTCCCAGACACGGATGAAATAAGGTAAATAACTAGGAGAGTTACATATTATAACTATATTTTATGGTAATTCAGAGGTACAAAGATTTAAGCACCTGTATACCCAATATGGACCAGATACATTTTTACATTTCAACTGTGGGCCTCTTGCTGCAAATGTTATTAATTATGATGTCGAAGTAGTGTATTGTTGTTTTCCAAAATAAACAAGGATTTCTTTGACTATATTGTCTTGCCAAATTTTTATTTGATATAGACGCTAAGGACAGGGATAAAAGAAATAAAAAATGTTTTTTCTTGTTTGAGAAGTTTTCAATTAAAAACTGTCACTGTAGTAACAAGTGCAAATGCTCTTCTCTGATTTGTCCCGTTTGTAATAGCACTTAAATGAAGGTACGTTTACTCAAAGTCCTTTGTTTATAATATACTGTATAATGGCTTTATTAAAAGCTTTTCCTAGCATAAAATGTCAACGTTTGCGGTATCCAAATCAACCATGCCAAAAACATGGCAGTTTTCAGAAACTGAACAGTTAAATGATCCTGTGCCTGGCTGTGTATATAAGGAACAATAATGAAATGAATACAATATTGGAGTATGCACACCAGGTATCCCTTAAGATATTTATGTATTCTAATTTGTCTTCTTTTTTTTTTCTTTTGCAGTTTCTTGAAAGGAGACATGTTTATTGTCCATAATGAGTTAGAAGATGGATGGATGTGGGTTACAAATCTTCGTACAAATGAACAAGGTCTTATAGTTGAAGATTTGGTGAAAGAAGTGGTTAGTTATCGTGGTTTTTTTCTCTTTTTTTAATATTTACACAGGATGGATTACATAATGCATATTGAAAATAAGATGGAGCTCTACTCGAAGACTTTTTAATAGCTTTTGATGTTAAATGGTTGAGGAAAGTGACAGTAAACTCAGGGGTTAAATCCTAAAATCACAATACAAACTATTAACAAAAATGTATCTTATTTGTGTATCACTCGGCTGTAGATCCTCAAATCATCTCTGAACTGGTGCTGACACTGTCCTTCCTTCTGGAGGGTGGCTACTTTTGTTCCCCATGGTCCCTGTGTGTGTTCCAAAGTAGCCACCACTCCAAGCTCACTCCCATGATAAACTACAATCAACATCATTTACGTTGAAGTTTATAGTCCATCACAGGAGTGAGCTTGGAGAGGCGGCTACTTTACAACACACACAGGGCCCAAAAGTAGCCACCCTCCAGAAGAAAGGACAGTGTCAGCACCAATTCAGAGATGATTTGAGAATATACAGCCCAGTGATACACAAACGGGATACATTTATGTCAATAGTTAAGGTACTTCATTGTATTTTTAAGATTTACGAGTTTAGTGTCACTTTAAAAGAAAACTTGTAACTAGGGATGCACCGATATATTGGCCGAAAATGGCACTTTTGGCAAAATGCCGAAAATGCATTTTTTTTGTACGAAATTGCGGTGCATTCCTGCTTTCCCTCCTCCCCGCTGGGCGCTGCTCTGTGTCCCAGCGGGGAGGAGAGAAACTGCCATAGGCGGCTGACCGCTGCGGGAGGAGAGCGCTGTGAGCGGCCGGCGTGTCTCCTCCCCGCACCGTTCAGTCGCGCGATTTGGATTTTGCGCGATTTGTTGCGCGATATCGCGCAAATGCTTACATTGAGCAAGTTGGAGTCGTGGCAAAATCCGCTCCAAAAAGGGTCCTGCTGTAGCGACACACGACCAGCAGGACCCTTTGCCCCATTGCAACCATTGAAGAGCGATATTGCGCGGTAAATAGCCGCGATATCGCGGGAATTACCGCGCGATAAATCGCTCAATGTGAACGGGGCCTTACAGCTGGCCTGTACAGATCCATGCTTCATGCACGGCTGTATCAGGCCGCTCCCGGGAAAGACAGGTGCTGCGTGTGATTGCACGCAGCAGCCTGTTCTTCTCTATGGGAGTTAGCGGCCATATGTCGCCGTACACTCACCCGAGCGTTTCCGTACTCGTACACAGGCAGGATGGATCCTGTCTGCGTCCGAGTAGGGACACCCGCAAGGACGTGCAGTTCGGGTGAGCGCACAGCCGCGTACTCCCATAGAGAAGAACAGGCTGCTGCGTGCAATTACACGCAGCACCTGTCTTTCCCGGGAGCGGCCTGATATGGCCGTGCATTCAGCACAGATCTGTATGCGCCGGCTGTTAGTCGTGTGAATGAGGGCTTACTGTGTCCTCAATTATGAATTGGAGGTGATCTAAATACATCGTTCATTCATAGTTGTGGTTATACTAAAACATACTCTGTCCTCATGTTTATGAATGAACAGGAACACTCGGCATAGAGGATTCCTGTTAATTTATAACGGGTTTCAGAAAAAGAGATTGAGAATACAATCTCTTTTTCTATTTTAAAAGGGAAATATCAGGGGTCTGTTTAGATCCCTAATATTTCCCCGGAGCCCCTAAAAGTAAAGTAAAAAATAAAAATATTTAATAAAAATAAATTAAATACAAATAAAATATATTCAAATAAAAATAAAATATTTTAAAATATTTGAAAATTTTGTTTCGGTTTTTACATTTTCATTTCAGTGCACCTCTACTTGTAACGAGTGTTTTGTGATCTCACTTATGTGTCATGTTTTTTTAAACATTTTTCCCAATGCATTGCACTCCTCAGACTTGAACCTTCAGCCCCTGATCCCATTAGTTTTAGTGAAGTCTTGCTCCTTGCTTACCCTGGTGATATTAAAGAACTATGAGATGAGTGATCTCCACTCACCTCATAGTTCTGACCGACCTGTGACAATGACACTGTCACAGGTCGGCTCAGTAGATCGCTCACCTCTCGATCCTGTCACGGCTCTCTGCCGTGACAGGGGGAGGGGCTGGATTCCCCTCTCCG